CCCAGTTTTACTGAGACATAATTGACATATAACATTGTATTAGTTTAAGGTGTACAACATAATGATTTTTTATATGTATAGTGAAATGACTACCAGAATAAATTTAGTTAACATCTATCACCTCACAGTTATAATTTTTTCTCTTGTAATGAGAGCTTTTAAGAGCTATTCTCTTAGCAACTTTTAAATATACAGTACAGTATTGTTAACTGTAGTCACCAGACAGCTAAATTTTCAATGATATCAAAATCTAAAATACAGAGCATATCTAGCACCCAGATCCTGGTTTCTAACACCATTGAACAACAAAAAGAACCAGGGCTCCTGGGAGAAATGGCTGGCTCTTGGGCTGGGGAAGAAAATACACAGCTAAGCTGGAGTATCTTGTAGTATCAAGTGCCAGAAAGTAGGGAAGTCCTCAAAAACAAGGGGGCACGGGGTGATGTCAAAGGGGCATAGGACCCAAATGAAAGAGCTCCCAATGGTCAAAGCTGGAATGATTTGAGAAACAAAATATATTCAATCATAACCCCAAGTATAAAATAAATATCCATGAGTTCACACTGATATAAATGAATAAATGAATAATTGTGGAGAAGAGACAAATCTGTCACAGAAAATACATAGCTACTTCATCAAAAATAAAGATAGCATAACTCTCCACTCCTTAGCTATAGGCTACAGATTAGTGACTTTCCTCCAAAGAGTAAAATATGGAAAGAAGGGAAACAGAACTTTCCAGTGGAGAAGCCTAACAAACACTACTTCAGGAAGGAAATCCACGTGAACATCAAGTCATAAATCATATTGCTAAGTGTATACCCTTGATATGATGTGAAGAAAATGGTACTAGATCTCTGTGACCTTCCTCTCAAATACCCATCACTCCAGTCCAGGAAAAACGTAAGACAAATCCCAACTGAGGCACTTCCTACAATATACCTGACCAGCACTCCTCAAAAGTGTCAAGGTCAACAAAAACAAGGAAAGTGTCACAGACAAGAGGAACTTAAGGACACGTGACAACTAAATGTAACATGATGTTCTGGATGGGATCCTGAAACAGAAAAAGGATATTAGATACAAACCAAAGAAAACTAATGTATCAATATTGGCTCCTCCATAACAAATGTATCAACTAATGTAAGATGTGAATAGAGGAAACTGAGTGTAGTTGGGATATTTGGGAACTCTCTATACTATCTTATTTTTTCTATAAATCTAAAACTTCACAAAAATAAAATTTATTTTTTAAAATCTAAAGTACACATGCATACACAATATTTTTTTTTACAAATTGTTTAAAAAGATAATTCTGCTTAAGCACTTTTAAAAACAAGCCACCAGTATGTTGTAAGTTTCTATCCCTTTTTTAAAATGTGACTGTTTTGCCTTCTTTCCACATAAATATGATTATGTTAATGTGTCTTGGTAGCAGAGTATGTATATTAAAATAGTTGTGTTTTGCTTGATAAGCTCAGGCGTAAATCTATTCCTTTTGGAAATTAAAAGCTCATTAATACATCTTCAAACTTGAAAATCAGTTGTTTTCCAAAAGGTAATATTGAAGTGAAATGTTTGAAACTTGAAACACATTTTCCCACAGAAATGTTATTACAAACAGTGATTAATTCCCAAGTAAACCCAGTGAAGCTCACTACATTCATTATAAGCAAAAAGACATTTGCAATGAAAACAGTATAAAACTATATTATGAAAAAAAATGCCTTTTAGATTCAAAGATAAATTTAAACATACAATTTACATTTATTTTAATCAATTCCATCACCAGTGTTTGAGCCAGGGGCTCACTTTGGGCCTCTTTGCATGGAGCCTTCAACACTGCACATGAGGAAAGGGAGGAGAGTGGAATGGAAGGCGTTACACTGGGGTGGGTGGGAGATGGAAAGGCCCTTTGAACAGTTTTAGAAAGCAAGTATGTTGTTTTAACCCAGATGTGTGTGTGTGTGTGGGGGGGGGAAGGCGCGTGGGTTCTACTGTGCTTTCTGGGAATACAATGAAACTGGTGTCCCACAGGGTGGAACGGATAGAAAGGACTTGGCTTCTCATAATCCTAGAGTCCTTAATATGCTATTATCCAAAGGGTGGGTAATAGGGTGGTCGGTAAGCCCGAGTGACCAACTGGCTAACTCTTCAGGCTCCTGGGATCTGAGTTCACAGGTGGGCAACAGCAGGCTTTGGACCTGGGCTCCTCACAGCAGTGTGCTGCCTAACAGAGGACAAAGAAAGTGGATTTACATAGACCTGCGGAAATGCTGCCGGAGTGTGACGAGGACATAGATTTCCAACCTGGATGATCAGAAGAGGGAACAGGCGAGAGCTAGAAATGAAGTTTCTTGCAGTGGTGCCAGCCAAAATGTTAGACCCAGCTGTAGTCAACATTTCTAAAGCACACCGAGGCCTCCTTGGATGTATTTCAGGTTGTCTATCCTGGTTTGAGGAGGTCCTTCACAAATACACACTACACATTTGTTAAAACAAATAAGAAAACATACCATTAAAAAAACTATAGGAACTTTTCAAAAGCATACTTAAAAACAAATATTTTTTAAAACCATATTTTTCAGAACACATCAAGGACTTAAACAACAACAAAAAATTTAATTGTTCTTCCCCTCCTAGATACCATTTCCACCAGGGCTTACAACCTGGTAGGCTTCCTTCCTTACCTAAATTCCCATTAAGTGTTAAAATGTGTATGAATGCACTTTTACACCATTTTCTAAACCATAACAATATGTACAGAATTGATATCTCAAAGGCAAACCTTAGCAGCTGTATGACATTCAATAGGTTATGCCAAACTTATTCAACCATTTCCTTATTCACAGGTATTCTTTGCTGTTTCCTTTATTTTGCTTTTTGCCACTGGAAAGGCTACAATAAAAATTTTCATACATGTATATTATTCAGGTTTATGTTCCTGTTGTAACAAACTCTCAGCAGCTTACCACAATAAAGTTTGTTTCTAGCTCACACCACAGTCCGATGCTGTTCTTTTGCAATGTGTCTCCAACAGTGCTTTAGGGATCTATCTTATTATGCTTTTGCTATCTTAGGTGACTTCATTTCCAGCAGCAAGGATGGGAGAGGGCTTGGAAGATGGCAAAGAACAATTTATGAGGAAGACCAACTGTGGCTCTTAAGACACTTCTGCCAAGATTCCATTGGCTACAACCCAATCATGTGACCCCAACCTAAATGCAAGGGAGGCTGGGAAATGCAGTCTTCCTGTATGCCCAGCAGTAATAGATGAGCATGTAACTAATTTTGCCAAATATCTTTATATATTGGCGGCTTTATTCCAAAGGATATATTCCTAGACTGTGAAATTTGTATATGATGTGTGTGCATGCAATCACTTTGCAAAAAGACTTTTATAATAACTTATTTCTGCCAGCAGAGTAAGAACGTTCAGCAAGCACCATTCTTGCCAAGTGCTAAAAACCGGGAAAGTCAGTTGACCAGATTTGTGTGTCAGCAGGGTCCTGGTTTAACTTCCACTCAATAAAAGGCCTTTCATTGTAAAGTTTGGAAGGCTGAAGAAAGCAAACAGCCTTTATTTCATTACACATGTTGACAGATGGCAGAAATGGCACATACAGTGGCTCCCAGGTGATGGATGTCCTTCCTTGTGGAGAGATGACTGGCTGGGGCTTTCCCTGAAATTCTTGCACTATTGGGTTTTCTAAACCCAGCAATTTCTCCTGACGTGTTGCTTCAGTGTTTCTGAAAATTTAGTGAACATCTAATTTCTTGTATAAAACCTCTTTCTACTTGAAATATTTAAAGCAACTTGTTTTCCAGACCAAGAATTAACATATACATCAACCTAGCATTAGCATTTGTGTTTGTCTGTTTATGGCCCTCTTTTTTATCTACATATTTTTTAATTCTTTTTTTTTTTGAAGATTTTTATTGGGGAATTGGGGGGATGGGAACAGTGCTGGGGAATTGGGGAAGGGGAACAGACAAGTTTGCTGTCCTTTTGTTCTTCAGTCTAGTTGAGGAGGATGTTGCTTCACTGGCCCAAGTTGGCACCATCATTACGCTCTTCCCGGGCGAGGCAGATCAGTTGCCGGCTTCTGGATGGCCGCTCACTGTGGCTGCTGGCTGCTGGCTACATACGGTAGCCCATGGCAACCCACTGCCACAGGGGCTGCAGCCTACCCTGTCGCCGGTGACTCACGGCAGCCCAGCTACAGGTCGAGCTGTTGTTCAGCATCTTAGCTGTAGAGGGCAGTGTTCACTGGCCCTCATATGTGGGATCCGAACCAGGGCCCTCTGGCGTCCCAAGCCAGTTCTTAACCATCGCGCCACTCGGCCGGCCCACATTTTTTGATTCTTATTTTTCAAATACATTTGTGTATTATATTACACCTGTGGGGTTGCCGTCTTCCCAAGCCTTAGTTTACATAAATACTCTCTAAAACTTCTAAGTCCTCTTTCTGTCTAGCTAATTAAGTCATTAAACCATTTGGAATTTGCTTTCACATTTGTTGTGACTGCTAGCATAATTTATTAAATAAATGACATTTTCCCACCCAAATGAAATACCATCCTTGTCCCAAATGTCTTGATCTATTTCTAGGTCACAGAGTCTATTCCAGTTATCTATTTGTTTATTCCTAAGCAATCCTATGTGTTGACTGTTGAGGTTTTATAGAATATTTTTAGAACTGGTTTATAAATTTAAATTCAAAGGAGAACATCTAACACAATAACTTGTACTACCATGTTAACTCAGTTGTAGATAGAACTCAGAATAAAACTTATCTTTCTATCTTTGTGCACGTACTTGAACTTTTTATAAATATTAATAACACGAACTACTGAATGCATGGCTAATATAAGGGGTAATGGTCAGTCCTAACCCGCTTCCAAATGTTTGAGAAAAGCCTCACTCTTTTCACTGATTGCTTTTATAATAAGTGAATGTTAAAACATTGAATTTGTAATGTTAGTTATCCTTTTCAATGTTTTCAATACTCAAGTGTTTATTTTTTTATTGAGATATAATTCACATACCACTAACTTTGCCCTTTAAAGTGTTCAATCCAAAGGCTTTTAGTACAGTCACAAAGTTGTTTGTCAATTACCACTGTCTAATTCCTGTTTGTCTGATTTTTTTATTATTTAAAAAAAAGGAAAAACAAAAGTGCAATTGTCATTCAATAAATATCATGTGATCCTTATGCAGCTTTGTTGCAGAAAGTGAAATCCATGATTTTAGGATGATGACAGCAATTTATCAACCAAGTAATCAGTGTTCACACAGTTTCAATAACTGCAGCAATTTCCTTGAACTGTCTGTAGAAATTCTGGAGAGAAAGGGAAAAAAAATAGTATTAATTTTGATCTTAGAGGTAATTTAAGTAGTTCTTTTAATAATATTTGACTGCCAGAAGCTATGTAACATATTAAGATTGTACTTTAATGTTACATACTCAACAGTTATTGAAGGTTACTCTAAGCAACAAACAGGTGCAATTTGGTACTGCAGGCAAAAATACTATTGCAGAGTTGTATAATTAGCTCATGACTAAACTCAAATAACACACAGAAAGTTTGTTTGAGATCACAACACAAAGATTCATTAGACACTCAGCGCTGTCTTGGAAACTGAAGAGAAAAACAAAAATGACAGGTTGGTTCCCAGGTCTCAAATCACTTTAGAGGTAGTGAAAGACTGGATTTCAGGATGTTAGGGGCGGTTTTGTTTAAGATATGGGTTCAACTACATTAGTAGAGACCCAACATCGACAATGGCTTGAATGGTAGAAGCCCATTTCTCTTTCATTTAAAAATTGATCTAGTCTGTTGGTTCTCCTATAGAAGTTTTCTTTTTTTCAAATCTCAGATAAGACAGGGATCAAACAAATTCTGTCTTCCTTCTCCTCTCCCTGCTGGGAAGCTAGGAGGCAAATCTGAAACTTAACCTCAGCAATTAGGACATCCTCTAATGATTTACATGTTTGTATTTTCCTTCTTTTTTGTTCTTAATCCTCTATTTTGCTACTTAAGAGTATATGTATTTTGCTATAATTTATATGTAAATTTGCTATGGAATGAAGCAGAATGTCACTATTTCTTGAAAAATATATACTGATTGTCAAAATTTCAGCTACAAGAAAGATATAAATTAAAAGCTCAAAGAATGTTCCTTAGTGCTCAGTCCTGTAATGTGACTAATGGGCTGTTTACATGGTTAGCTGTTAAGACAACCTTTAAAACTACCTTTAAAAGAGTTTCCCCCTTTCTGATTTTTTCCTATGAGAAAAAAAACAATTCTAGAGGTTGAATTAGAATATGAATACTGAACCATAAAACAGGAATTAGGCCGGGATTGTGAATTACAAAAAGGATGGAAACCTATATTCTCTTTTAAAATTGATTTGGTCCTTACAGTCAGTTGAAGGCTACTCACATATCATAATATACTATGTTTATTTCCTTTTAACCAAGTCCTAATTCCTTCCACGACACTAACTAGCATTAATAATGTATCTGTGATCATTATTTTTTGTTCTAAAGCAGAGATACATGTTTTAAAAGAAAGAAATGAAAGGGGGAAAAAAACCTTAAAATGTTATTTGTAATACAGAAGCGCCATATGATCCAGTAATCCCACTTCTGGGTATCCATCCAAAGGAAATAAAATCACTGCACTCCTATGTCCATTACTCCCAATAGTCAAGGTATGGAAACAACCTACGTGTCTGTTGACAGATGAATGGATAAAGAAAA